AGTCTCTGTTCCTCTCGGTCCCCCCAAGAAAAGGCGGAGAAGACAAACCAGTTTCCACAAACAGGGACACTTCAAGCCAGAGACAACTGAATTAACTTTATTCTCTTCTAACTGCAGATTCAAGGTATACAACTGAACATCGCTATTTTTCTTATGAGACTTATAAATAAAAATACAAAAAATGTCCACTACAAAAAAATCTACTGTTAGTAGGATGTAAAAAATATTCTCTTTGCTATAGAAGGCACAAACTTCACTTAGTGACACATGGAGAGAGAAAAAAACCTGCAGCAGTAAATTCATTTTTTCTTTCTTTTTTTTTTTTGTTTTTGTTTTTCTTTTAAAATGTTGTCAGAACACTGAAATTATGAGGAAACGCATCAATCTACACGAAACGAAGGCAGATGCGGAAAGCTGAACCAGGACCGCGGGACGTCGAGGGCGCTGCTCTGGGATCAGGACAGATGGGACTGGCAAGCTCATCCTGGGGGCGCCGGGCTGGGGCCGGGCAGGCGGGGAGGGGAGAGGGAGAGACAGGAATGACAGGGGAGGGGCGGAGGGGCGGACGGAGCAGCAGAAGGGAGAAGGGAGAAGGAGAGGGGGAAAGAGAGAGAGATTTGTACAAAAAAGTAACCAGTAAAATTGAAGAAACGAAATTGGCAACCTCCTAAAATCAGGCTAAGAGGAGGCGCTGAGGTAGACATGAACTAGAACATCAATTAATTGAAAACACGATGTGATACAGAGCGATCGGGCCGGCCCTTGTGCTGTCAAGGCATCAGACAAGCCACAGATACAAACGAGACGAAACATCACACCCAAACCGAAAGGCTTAGTTTTGCTTGGTCCAGCAGGGCGGCAGGGCCCTCAGTGCTATAATTTACATACATATATATATCTATCTATATAGATGGGTCGGATGTCATGGTGCACCACCACGGCTTCGTAACCGCACAAAGATCATGCATAACACTATGTGGACAGATCCCAGGACACACACCAGGAGGCAGGTACCCTGTCTGCAAAGCCGGACACCCGGGGCTCGGAGGCGGGGCTGCTGGCTCACAGCCTGCGGGCCCGCACCCCTCCCCCTCCCTTCCCCCACCCTCCGCACCTCCCTGGCCTGTCTCCCACCCCTCTCCTGGCCGCTCGGCCTTGTCCCTGCACCCAGCAGTTCCCCGGGAAAGGCCAGTCTGGCTTTCCCACCTCCTACGGGAATATCCTGGTACGTGCGGCCATGAAGCTCCCTGAAGGAGGGAACCAGATGGAGGGGAGAAACATGTGACACGGGCCTCGGGGAACTGAACGGTGGCCTCTTTTTCTGCTTCTCTTACATCCACTGCCCAGCTGTCTGTCCTTGGGGGACTGGCCACAGACCTGGCCCCTGCCACCCCGTGGATGGAGCTGGAGAGCCAGCCCATGCTGCTCGCTCCACTGGCCACTGGCCCCCAGGCCCTGTCCCTGCAGGCCCCCCCAGCAGCATCCTGGAGGCTACCACACACTTGTGAAAAACTGCAGCAGGGTTCTTTTCCTTTTTTCCTAAACATGGAAAACTGTTCAGGCACAAAGATTCAACAAGCCCACATTGCATCCCTGGATTGTACTGAATCACGGGGTCCCGAGCCTCCCGACCCACCCCTGCGCCCCAGGTCTACCTTCCTCATGTCCATGGCCTCCTCCAAAGCAGCCCAAAGCAGCAATGATATTTACTATTTATATCTCTCTTGCTATATATATCTCTCTATATATATCTGTCTATCCTATATACACATAGGATTTTAATGCTTTGAATGAGTGAAGAAGAGGGAAAGGGGGGGGGCACATGTCCCCAAAAGCATCGGGGACACACCTGCAGGACAGACTGGCGGGAGGGCCTGTGGCCAGCGTGTGCTTGCAGGCCGGAGGCATTCTGGGATGCGGGTAAGGCAGCAACGGGCAGGTCACCAGCAGCGCCACGCCGAAGGCAGCGGTGGCCACCGGCCGAGGGCAGGAAGCCGCACAGATCGCTCCTGGGGGAGAAGCACCCCTCCCCTCCTGGCCTCCCAGCCCCCTTCATACAGACACATCTGAAGCCTCCACGTCATTTCTGACCCTCACCTTGGCGATTAGGCCTGGCCGAGGTCAGGCAAGGTAAGGATGCTCTTGTCTTCATGAGTAGGAAGCGGAACAGGAGGCACGCTGGGCTGTGCTCAGGTGTCTGAGCCTTCGTGGGGCAGAGGCGAGAAGGAAGCAGATAAGAGGCCTCCAACCCGGCTCCGTGCAGATCCTGACCCTCTCCCTGCCTCCCTACCGGGGCTCCCCCAGGGGCGGTGGGGCGGTGGGGCGCCGGGCGGATGAGTGCTGTCCCGTGCTGCCACAGCAGATGACAACAACACTGCGTGACGTCACACACAGTCACACACGAACAGCACACGCAGACACACACACAAAAGGATCTTTTGGTGGTGGTGGTGGTGGTATTTTTTTTTGTCTTTTTTTTTTTCCTATTCACATTACAAAGGACAGGGCAAGTCCCGCAGCACTGACGCAGGAACTAACAAACGTTACAAAAATATTACAATTTGTCCAGATGAGCCCACCCCCTCAGCGCTGGCGAACGGGGAGGGGACCCAGCTCCGTGGGGAGGCGGGCAGGAGAGGCGTCAGCCAGGTCTATGGAATAGTCTGATTTTTTCCTTCCCCACCAACGTTGAATGACTTCTTGCTGTTCAAATACTGTTTTCTGGGGTTTACAGATCCCCCGAGGGCCAGCCAGTCCCCCTTTTTCCCATTTTTGGGGGAGGGAGCAATAGTGCATACTGATTTCTTACAGACTGCTCCCCCCAAAGATTTCACTCTTCACATTAAAAACACAGCAACTGCTCTAGTCACATATTTCAAGTTTAACTTTTTTTCCTTTCCAAAGCACTAAGTCATTATTATAATTGCAAAATAGCATCCTCCCTATTCCTCATCCCCAGTCAACAGTCCAGTGACACAGTTCCCCCAGTGACTATACCCCCAACACACACTTTTTAAGGCCTCCAGATTTGGTGGGCAAGATTGCGGGGGAGGCGGGAGTTGGGCCAAGGGACAACGTGGTCACAGCAGCACCCAGCCCTCCTCCGACTTCCCTATACTCCTCACAACCCTTCTCCCCAAAACCGCTTCCCTAAACCACTTTTTTAAAACCTAAGACAAAAACGCAGCCACAACTTTCTCAGAGAGAGAAAGGAAAGAAGAAGAAAAAAACTTTACAAATAAAGCATGAGCTGAAACGGAGGGCCCATCCCACAGTGGAAACAAATATTGCAAATGTGCTTTCCAAAATCCGGGGTGGGAAGGAGGGGAGCAGAGCAGCAGCGGAGGGGCAGGAGGGGACAAAAGAACCAGACGAACATAAGAGGTAGCTTTCAGAAAAACACAACCCAACGCAGCAAAACCAAGACTGGCACAGCCCTCACCAGCCAGGAACACAGACCAATTTTGGCAATGACAATGCACACAGAGGTGGGGTCACACAGTTGTAAGGATCTGAAGAACACAGGCCCTCAGACCCAAAGGACCCAGCAAATTTTAAGAAAGGGGGGATCTTGTCCAGGCTATTTTAGGCTGACTCAACCTGGCAGGATGAGTCCCTACCCTGGGCAGAGCCCACAGAGACTCCACAGGCCCCAGTGCACCCCCCCTTCTGCTGGCCCAGCCCCACTCAGACCCTGAGGGCTCAATCTCAGCACAGCTCCTCCAGCTGAGAGGCTAGTCGCTCAGGGATGGGGAGGCCCTGGCCAGCTGACAGGTATTAAACCAACTATTAATTTACACAAGAAACAGAAAAGAACACCCTCCCCATCATCCAACCCCCAACCAAAAGACATACAGGGGTTACAAAAGCTCATGAGGTCACAAAAAACTGAGGTAATTCAAGTACAATGTGCTAACGGGAACTGGGGACACAGAAAAGAAGTAACACACGGCCAAAGCGCTTTCAGCAACTCTTCCTCCTCCTCCCTGCGCACTGGGGCGGGACGGGGCACTGAGGCAGGAATTCTGTGCCCTCTGGACCTGGGTTTCCCACCGAGCTCACCAGGTCTGGGGTGTTCAGAAGGTCCCCAGAATGACTCTACAGCACCCTCACCTGGCCAGTCCCCCGACTCCTGGGCAGGTGTTCCTGTCCCCAGGTGGAGGGCACCTCTGGGGAACATCTACCTCCTCCCCTTGGACAGTGAGCCCTCTCTCGGCTTCCTTCTCCTGGGGACTGGATGAGGGGGACGGAGACCCCTGTCTGTCTGTCTGTCTGTCTGTCTGGTGGGGTTTGTATTTAGGTGTTTTTTCATCTGGGAAGCAAAAGCAGCCCAGCAGGTCTCCCTCAGGACAGGATTTTCTGAGGGTGGGGTATTCCCCTTCTGTGTTCTCAGAAGCTAAGGGTGGGAGTGAGGCTCTGGGGTGAGGCACAGTGTCCCCACTAGGAGCTGGGGGGAGGGCGCCGGACACTCCCTGGACCTGGGGACAGGAGCTGGGGGAGGGGCAGAAGCTGGAAGAGGAAGGGGACACCTATGTGGTCAGCAGAGGGAAGCAGTAGGTGAACTGAATGATGGGAAGGGAAGAAGAGTCCTTCCCCAGCCCAGCCTGCCCCTAGCAAACTAGAGCTGCCACTCTGAGTGACAGCCAGTGACCCAGCCCAGCCCCGAGCAGGACCCCGCCCCCGCCTCCGTCTCCGTGAGGATGGCAGGCAGAGGCTGGCTCTGACCAGTCCACCCCTCACCTTCTTCCCAGCCTCCATTTCTGGACATAAAAAGAGGGTCTGAGCGGAACAAACCCCCTCACCCGTACCCAGGCTGACCTCCAGCCAGGGGACGAGGGCCGGGTGCCGGGATGGGGCAGTGGCCAGGCATCCCGGTCACCTGGAGCCCCCAGAGAACCCAAGGCCAGAGAGCTATCAGGCTTCCTTTTTCTTCCTTTTCGTAACTACTATATATGGGTTTTTTTTTGTTTTGTTTTTTGTTTTGTTTTGTTTTTTGATTTTTTGTTTTTGCACAATCCTTCCTCGACTCCTTCCTGCTCTAACTCACGTCTTCTCGCCCACGCCTCTGCCCCCGCCTGGCCTGGCTTCACACGTAGCACAGGTAGAGGTAAGTCTTCTCTATCCGCCAGTCGGGCGGGATCTCCTCGGGCTTGTGGCCCTTCATGTGCTTCTGCATGGAGGACAGGCTGGGGCAGTACTCCGTGCAGATGGTGCACTGGTAGGGCGAGGCGCCGTTGTGCGTCCGCAGGTGCTTGATCATGGCCGAGTAGTCCCGGGAGCGCTGGTGGCACAGCTTACACTCGAAGGGCTTCTCACCTGCGGAAGGACACGGAGGGGCTGTGAGGGCCTCGCGCCCGCTGGCCGGCCGGCCGGGCGGGCATCGCTCCACCAGGGCTCGCTGGGGCAGGTCGTCCAGCTCCTGCTCTCCACCAGGGGGATACGTCCCTCGGAAGGATGGCACCAGTCACTCAGGGCGGCTGGGCGCCTGACTCCTGCCAGGGGTCTGGGAACCAGTCTCCACCCTACTTCGCTGTGACTGAACAGCCCACGCGGCTCTAGTCCCCGGCGCCCCTCCTCCTCACTCTCCCAAAGCACAGCCCCTTCCTGCCCGAGGAGGGACAGGGAGGCCTGGAAGAGGGACAGGGAGGCCCGCAACTTCCTGAGGGATGGCTTCGGCAGCTCCTTCCAGGGGAGCAGGGCTACCGGGGTGGGAAGGACGGAGGCCCGTCCTTCCTTCCAACGCGCAGCGTCTGGGCTGGCTCATCATCGCAGGCTCTGGGGATCTGCCCTGGACCTGCCATCCCTCCGGGCTGGGGGCGGGGGGCAGGAAACGGGAGTGCCAGGTCCATGCTAGCTGGTACCCGACTCCCGTTAGAGTCCCCTGCAGCTGAGCAGAGGGTGTGAGGGAACCTTGTTTCAATACAGTAATTAACTGGCCAGCCATCCCGCTATCGATACTCCTCCATGCAGAGGCCGCAGCAAATAATGAAGTAATGAACAGCCAAAGTGATCTAACTATCGACCTGCTATTTACAATGGTCACTGCCAATGCATTTAATGATCCACCTGCCAGGTCACATCCCCACAAGGGGCTAAGGAAGCCCCAGGGCTCTGGGGAATCCTCTGGGTCACTCCAGTGGTCAGCAACAAGCACCCCATCCTCTCCTTGTGGCCAATGCAAGAAAACAGAGCTATGAGTACACTAATCCTCTGCTTGCTGTCGCCTCTGCCCCGCCCCGCACCCCCGCCTCAGAGGTCACTTTGCCCTCCTTGCAAAGGACAGCTATCTCCCCTCATCAGAGGAGGCTTCCTAGTCGGCCAGACCACCGCCATCCACTACACCTTATCCTCCAAGCAAGTCCTTCTGAATATCCACCTCCCCCCAGCAGTGGTGCACCGTGATAAAATGTAACAGTTGGTTCCCCTAGAGCCTGGGTTTGTAGCGCTGCCGTGGCACATTGTGACTACTTCCGCCATGGCCAGTGTAAGGAACCGGGGTGCTGCCGCTGAACGTGCAGCTGGGAAGGAACTGCCAAACCGGCTTCCCCAAGCAGGCCCGGTGCAGCTCCGGCACTCCACCGCCCCCTGCTGGACATCGGGACCACCCCAGGGAAAACAGCAGCTCACAGTTCTAACATGTACAATGGACCGTGAAGTCCCTTTGAAATGGTAAAACGTGATACACACAGAGGGTTTATCATGTGTATCTGCTCCTCTGATCTCAGAACCTAACTCTAACTTATGACTTCCCTCATCATAACCTAACGCAAGGCCCTCCAATTCTTACTCTAACCTACTCTAACCGTGAAGTAAAAACTGTCCTAACCTTCATTCTCAGCTCACTGGGGAACCTAATCCAGGACTCACCAGCAGAAGTCATCTTGTGTGACCCGTGTGCTATTGGTATGCTGCCTGGAGGGCTACTCTGGCTCCTGGGAAGTGTGCTGCGGTTGATTAGCAATGCCTGCCTCAGCCTTGTGGGGAGGCGGTCAGAGGCTTGAGGTTAGCATAATAACCCTAACAACCCCTTCTACTCTTTGGTTCAAACCTGGCCCCACCCCCACCCAGGTTCCGGAGCCAGCTTACACCCTCCCTGGCCCTCGGGTCCCGCGCGCACACTGCAGTGCGCCTCCCTGACCCTCGGGCCCCGCGCGCACCCTGCAGTGCGTCTCCCTGGCCCTCGGTCCCCGCGCGCACCCTGCAGTGAGCCTCCCTGGCCCTCGGTACCCACGCGCACCCTGCAGTGAGCCTCCCTAGCCCTCAGTCCCGCGCGCACCCTGCAGTGCGTCTCCCTGGCCCTCGGTACCTGTGTGCACCCTGCAGTGCGCCTCCCTGGCCCTCGGTCCCCACGTGCACCCTGCAGTGCGTCTCCCTGGCCCTCGGTCCCGCGCGCACCCTGCAGTGCGTCTCCCTGGCCCTCGGTACCTGTGTGCACCCTGCAGTGCGTCTCCCTGGCCCTCGGTACCCGCGCGCACCCTGCAGTGCGTCTCCCTGGCCCTCGGTACCTGTGTGCACCCTGCAGTGCGCCTCCCTGGCCCTCGGTCCCCACGTACACCCTGCAGTGCGCCTCCCTGGCCCTCGGTACCCGCGCGCACCCTGCAGTGCGTCTCCCTGGCCCTCGGTACCTGTGTGCACCCTGCAGTGCGCCTCCCTGGCCCTCGGTACCTGTGTGCACCCTGCAGTGCGTCTCCCTGGCCCTCGGTACCCGCGCGCACCCTGCAGTGCGTCTCCCTGGCCCTCGGTACCTGTGTGCACCCTGCAGTGCGTCTCCCTGGCCCTCGGTCCCGCGCGCACACTGCAGTGCGCCTCCCTGGCCCTCGGTACCTGTGTGCACCCTGCAGTGCGCCTCCCTGGCCCTCGGTACCTGTGTGCACCCTGCAGTGCGTCTCCCTGGCCCTCGGTCCCGCGCGCACCCTGCAGTGAGCCTCCCTGGCCCTCGGTACCTGTGTGCACCCTGCAGAGCGTCTCCCTGGCCCTCGGTACCTAGGTGCACCCTGCAGTGCGTCTCCCTGGCCCTCGGTACCCGCGCGCACCCTGCAGTGCGTCTCCCTGGCCCTCGGTCCCGCGCGCACCCTGCAGTGCGTCTCCCTGGCCCTCGGTCCCGCGCGCACCCTGCAGTGCGTCTCCCTGGCCCTCGGTACCTGTGTGCACCCTGCAGTGCGCCTCCCTGGCCCTCGGTACCCGCGCGCACCCTGCAGTGCGTCTCCCTGGCCCTCGGTCCCCGCGCGCACCCTGCAGTGCGTCTCCCTGGCCCTCGGTACCTGTGTGCACCCTGCAGTGCGTCTCCCTGGCCCTCGGTCCCCACGTGCACCCTGCAGTGCGTCTCCCTGGCCCTCGGTACCCGCGCGCACCCTGCAGTGCGCCTCCCTGGCCCTCGGTCCCGCGCGCACCCTGCAGTGCGTCTCCCTGGCCCTCGGTACCTGTGTGCACCCTGCAGTGCGTCTCCCTGGCCCTCGGTACCCGCGCGCACCCTGCAGTGCGCCTCCCTGGCCCTCAGTCCCGCGCGCACCCTGCAGTGCGTCTCCCTGGCCCTCGGTACCTGTGTGCACCCTGCAGTGCGCCTCCCTGGCCCTCGGGCCCCGCGCGCACCCTGCAGTGCGTCTCCCTGGCCCTCGGTACCTGTGTGCACCCTGCAGTGCGTCTCCCTGGCCCTCGGTCCCGCGCGCACCCTGCAGTGCGTCTCCCTGGCCCTCGGTACCTGTGTGCACCCTGCAGTGCGTCTCCCTGGCCCTCGGTACCTGTGTGCACCCTGCAGTGCGTCTCCCTGGCCCTCGGTCCCGCGCGCACCCTGCAGTGCGTCTCCCTGGCCCTCGGTACCTGTGTGCACCCTGCAGTGCGCCTCCCTGGCCCTCGGTCCCGCGCGCACCCTGCAGTGCGTCTCCCTGGCCCTCGGTACCTGTGCGCACCCTGCAGTGCGTCTCCCTGGCCCTCGGGCCCCGCGCGCACCCTGCAGTGCGTCTCCCTGGCCCTCGGTCCCGCGCGCACCCTGCAGTGCGTCTCCCTGGCCCTCAGTACCTGTGTGCACCCTGCAGTGCGCCTCCCTGGCCCTCGGTACCTGTGTGCACCCTGCAGTGCGTCTCCCTAGCCCTCGGGCCCCGCGCGCACCCTGCAGTGAGCCTCCCTGGCCCTCGGTACCTGTGTGCACCCTGCAGTGCGCCTCCCTGGCCCTCGGTCCCGCGCGCACCCTGCAGTGCGTCTCCCTGGCCCTCGGTACCTGTGTGCACCCTGCAGTGCGTCTCCCTGGCCCTAGGTACCCGCGCGCACCCTGCAGTGCGTCTCCCTGGCCCTCGGTCCCGCGCGCACCCTGCAGTGCGTCTCCCTGGCCCTCGGTACCTGTGTGCACCCTGCAGTGCGTCTCCCTGGCCCTCGGTACCTGTGTGCACCCTGCAGTGCGTCTCCCTGGCCCTCGGTACCTGTGTGCACCCTGCAGTGCGTCTCCCTAGCCCTCGGGCCCCGCGCGCACCCTGCAGTGAGCCTCCCTGGCCCTCGGTACCTGTGTGCACCCTGCAGTGCGTCTCCCTGGCCCTCGGGCCCCGCGCGCACCCTGCAGTGAGCCTCCCTGGCCCTCGGTACCTGTGTGCACCCTGCAGTGCGTCTCCCTAGCCCTCGGGCCCCACGCGCACCCTGCAGTGAGCCTCCCTGGCCCTCGGTACCTGTGTGCACCCTGCAGTGCGCCTCCCTGGCCCTTGGTACCTGTGTGCACCCTGTAGTGCGTCTCCAGCTGGTGCTTGAGGCTGAACTTCTTGCCGCAGCCATTGCACTCGTAGGGTTTCTCGCCCGTGTGGATGCGTTTGTGGCTCTTAAGTGTGCTCTCATCCCGGAAGCAGCTGCCACAGAACTCACACTCGTACGGGTGGTCACCTGTGGGGACAAGGGGCTGGTTCAGGCCCTTGCCAACCCCTGCCCCCACTTTAGGGAGGAGGAGAGCAGTCCAGTGCCCCAGGAGCATGAGTGTCTGCATTCATCACCTGCAGAGAGGCCGAAGGACACGAGCTGTGCCGGCCCCCGGAGCACAAACTAGGAGCCCGTGTTCACTCGTGTCCATACCTTACTGCGGCCCAGTGGTCATCAGGGCTCAGGGGCTGGTCAAGGAAAAGAGAGCCCATTTGCTTCGGAAATGAACAGCGGCCCTCAGAAAGCAGGCCCCACGAGGCCCCTTTGAGACCTTGCCTCTCAGCTTCTCCTTCTGTCTCCTCTTCCTTTCTCCAGGTCAGGAGTGACAACCCTGCCCCTAAAAATCCCTCCAATTTGGGAAACAAGGAGAACCCCCGCCCCCCGTCCCAGAACAAAATGCTTCTGTTCTTTCTGTCCTCCACAGTTGTACACAGCTGTTCTCTCTGCTTGATTTCTTCTCTCTCCCTGGCGAACTCCTAGTCATCCTTCAAGGCCCAACTCAAAAATCACCTGTTTGGAAGCTTCTCTTCAGTCTCACAGGCAAAATGAGTTACACTTTCTTCTCTGTCCCCCAAAAGAGAAAAGGTCCGGCATTTTGTTCTTTTAGCAGCAGTAGGATGATTTTTATGACACTTTCTAAGTAAAATGGCCCACACTTTTGTTGACTGCTCACTACTGTACTGAGAACTTCACATGGATCCTATCACGAAATCACCACAAGAACGTTACAGGAAAGGTATTGTAGTATTCTCGTTTGACAGATGAGAAAAATGAGATGCTTAGGGATGCTCGAACATGGTCCCCAAGGTCAAGTAGCTGAGTCTGGAGTCAGATTCTGGTCTGCTTCCAGAGTCTGGCGCTGGAACGGTCTCTGATTGCTAACTGACATGCTGTCCTGTTCCTACCGCCATGCCCACCATGCTTCTAGACAGAAGCACGTCAAGGGTAAAGGGACCTTCCGGTCACCCCAGTAGCCTCAGTACGTACATAAGGACAACCCAGAGCAGACACCCAGGAAATGCTGGGTGTATGAAACGGGGAGAAATGCTTTTCCTCAGCCCCGGATCCATGCCCATCAGCCTCCTGTCTGCCTTCCAGTGTCCTCAGGAAGGTAAAAGGTGGCTCGGGGTGGGGGGTCAACCATTTCTCATTTTGTCCCCAAAGTGGGGGGCTTTTGAGGATGAAAGGTGAAGACTTCAGCTACTTATTTATTACAGGAGTGAAGGCACAGACAATAAAGATAGATTGATCACCCCAGACTTTGTTCATGAATATTTAAATATCGCTGATTCGTCTTGTCTCTGTAATTACAATTTCTCTGGGCAGCATCTCCAACAACCACAGTTTATGGTAAAGAATGGCCCACTGTATTTCACTCGTCCCCCTGCAGATGTGTGGGGCTGCCAACCGTGTAATGTCCTCTGCATTTCATACATTTTCTTCAGCTGCTGAAGGTTTAAGTCATCCACAATGACCTACGTTTTTTCATTATCCCCATGTCAAACTGCGCTCGTGCCTGGGCATAAATTGTCCCTCTCGTTATAGACTCGCAGGCCTGTGCCTTCACTTCCTCTCTGAAATGATATTTTACTCTCCTCGCTCCCCTCCGCAGGCTGCTACCCACAGCTCCCCCTCCTGAATTCAGGGCGCTGCACCCACATAAATTCTCATCTGTTCTGATGGCTCGGAAGGTTTTTTAAGGCTCTGTGGGGAGTGGATGCTGGGGTCTGCCCACTGGGCGGCTCTCGCATGGGTGAGAGGTTTGCAAGCGCCGGGGGTGGTGGGAGCAATCCCTCCGAGGCGGAGAGAAGCTCAGAGAGCAGAGCCGCCTCTCTGTGGAGACCAGCTCTCAGCAATCGAGGGGCCCCGCCCTGGCTGAGCCGGTCCGGTGAGGTCCGGTGAGTCCCTCCCATGCAGACCTGGGCATGAAACGGGCCGGGGGTTCTCGGCACGTCCCTGGTCTAGGCTGCCAGGGTTGTGCAGACCGCTTGCCGACCAGCCCCATCCAACCCAAGGGGGGACGTGCAGCCCCTGGTCCTAATTAGCTCTGAGGGCAGTCTGCGCGCCTGTGCCCGTGTGCCCGTGTGTGTAGACGGCGACACGCAGCCCGTCTGACATCCAGTGCCCCTCCTTACTGAATCAGCAATGATTATGACTTTAATCAAGGATTCAGAACCCTCATTAAGATATAAATAAATAAATAAAGCAGGGGCCACCGGAGGCTTCAGCCAGAGCCGGTAATTAAAACGTACATCAGCAGCCGCCCAGCGAGGGGACGCGGCCTCCGCGCCTTCCCCTCCAGGGGGCCCGAAGAGTTTAAAAACCAAAGGGTTAAGACAGAGAGGTTTGTTTGATCACATTTTTATGAATTTAATTATGAAGTGGATCACATGTTAAATGAGTTTAAATAGGAAATCTCCAGAGTCAGCCAGGGAAGAGAGTAAGAAACATTTAGAACACACGCATACCCACACGCGTGTGCACGAACACACGCACACACGCGCACACACATGCACACACGCAGCTTTTGAAACACGGCAAGCACCTGGTCCAACATCCCCGCCCTGAGAGTTAACTGTCAGTGTGGCCATAATGTACACAAAACTGGCTGTAGAGCTCAAAATCCAATTTGTGGTATGTTGATTAACTCTGTAGCCTCTTTAATGAGCTTGACATTAAGTGCAGGACAAACGAGACTAATTAGGGTCCCCTCCGGCCTGCCCAGTGCACCTGTGACCCCAGCGGTCTGTCCTTACCTGCAGTTTCCCTGGCACTGGCCAGGCCCAGTGTCCCCCACCCCAGGCCCTCCTGTGAGCTCCTCAGGCCCCTCCACGCAGCGCAGCTGAGGGTTTATTATAAGAGGAGCCATGTGAATCAGGGATCCATCAATGCCAAGAACACGGCTGGACTGACTTACCAAACACAGCTGCCGATGCTAAACACCAGGCCCCAGCAGCAAACGGGCCAAGAACAACGGAATATTAATGAGGCATTGTGCGGGTGTGCGGCCTGTGCATGGCTCATGTGTGCAGGGCCGTGGCAGCACGGGCTGGCGTGGCAATCGGTGGGCGTTCGTGTGTGCACAGGCGGTGCTCATGTTCCATGTTTCCTAGTCCAGGAAGTGCTTCTCCCCAGCTCTGTCTCCCCCCCACGGACCTGAGTGACCCAGAAGAACATGACGTTTTGATATCTGAGCTCTCTGAAAGCGGCCTGAGCAGAGCAGGGCGTATCCTGGGCAGACTTAGCAGGGCAGGGATCATTCAAGTCACATGAAGCAAGAGAGCTGACCCAGGGCCTCCTCAGCAGTGGCTGCAGGTTATGGCCCTGTCTCATCGGCTCACCTTGGGAACGCAGCGGGGGAGGTGCTCACACCTGCAGGGATGCCCAAGAGGCACGGGGAACAAGTCCTTGTCAGCGTCCCTCCCCCTTAGCCCTTCCTGCGGGGCCCTAGTCTTTGGGTCCTCCCCTGCCGGCACCAGCAGTCCCGAGTTCTCAGCAAGCCTGGTGACGCTGAGGCGTGTGCTCCCCTGAACTGGGGGTCCAGAAGTGAGACCCAGGCGGCCCTTCGATGAGCATGCCCACTGCTGGTAGGACAGGCCACTCCGTGCATGACAAAGAACGCCCCTGCCTCATTCAGCGAAGCCTGCAACCCACCCCAGGCCTGGCCTGTAACCCACCCTTAATCCTGGCACCGGGACAGATCCAGAATGAGAAGAAAAAGCGCCCAACCAGCCCTGTCTGCACACCAGCTTCGTGTGCCCTCTCCACCAGACAGGAACGCACACCCTGTCACACACCCAGACACAGAGGCTGCCTGTCGCCCCGGCCCCGCCCCCCCCTCACCCAAACCCAGGAGAGCACACACTGCACAGACACGTGCAGACTCGGGAGGGGCAGTTTGATCCGTGTACGGTCAGCAAGGACCCAGTCTGGTCTTGGAGCAGCGGTTCTCAACCCTCCGAATGCCGCGACCCTTTAATTCAGTTCCTCACGTTGTGGTGATCCCCCAACCATTACATTATTTTCGTTGCTACTTCATACCTGTAATTTTGCTACTGTTAATGAATTGCCATCAGAAATATATGTGTTTTCTGATGGTCTTAGGCGACCCCTGTGAAAGGGTCGCTCGACCCCCAAAGGGGTCGCGACCCACAGGTTGAGAACCGCTGTCTTAGAGACAGGAAAGTTTGTCATCCATCCCCTCACTAGGGGCCCAGGGATAGAGGCATGTTGGCCCGAAAACCCAGAGGGTGGTGGCCTCCTGACTCGAGCCCCCTCCTCCCTCATCATCTGGAACTGGCTAAGCAGGGACGTCTCATGGCTCCTCGTGCAGTGCCCTAAGCAAGGTCAAGGTCCCTGTGCAGAAAACGTGCTTCTGCCGCGGGCAGTCAGGGCCTCTTCCGCAGCATGGCCTCGAGAGCCCAAGGCCGACTCTGGGAGTGTGTCCACGGGGCGGGGGCCAGGGACACTGACGGGGGCTGCAGCAGAGAGAATGAGGGACCAGGCAGGTGGTATTTTCTCAAAATGAGTTTTGGGTCCACCTGTGTCAGGTCCCTTGGGAATATTTATTAGCAATGTTGAGTCTTGCAGCCCACCCCAAATCCGTTTCCGAGGTGGGACCCAAGAACGCGTCTTTGACGAGGACCCTCTTTGCCTCCCTGTCGAGCAGAGAGACGAAGAACTCAGGGTCCAGCAGGCGGGGCGGGGGACCTGTCCATCATGATCTGCGTGCCGGAAACCACCCCCACCGGCCCCATCTTTGAGCCAAGGAGGGCTGAGGGCCCCTTCTGCCCGGCGCCGGCACTGTGTGGAGGTGAGTCCCACACTGTTCCCAGCCCCTGGCCCGGCACCCGCTGGCCTACCTGTGTGCGAGCGCAGGTGGCGCTTGAGGGCGGTGTGGCTGGGGAAGGTGCGGTTGCACTCGCTGCAGATGTAGCTGCGCACGCCCGCGTGGACCTCCATGTGCTGCTGCAGCGCGCTCTGCGCCTGGAAACGCTTCCCGCACAGCAGGCAGAAGACGGCCATGTCCGTGCCTGTGGAGACAGGAGCAGGGCTCAGGCGTGGACGCAAGGCCACTCCTCACCCACCCAGGACCAGGCCCGGGCCCCATGCTCTGGGCCCAGCCACGGGCGGCCCAGGACGTGCAGATGTGATCCAGTGGTGGCCCCAAGCCACTCCTTCCTGTCTGGTGGAACCCAACGCCTAGTGGGGAAAGAGGCCTGCACCAAACATCCCAGCCACAAAGGTGCTGGGCCGTCCACGCAGGGCCGCGGCGGAGGCTCGGTGCCGAGACGGCACTCGTCGGGGACTTTTCGGAGTCTAATTTAAAACTACATCTCCAAGACGTAGGCTCTACACCCTCACCCTTCGGATAAGGAAGACGAGGTGCAGAGAGATCGAGCAACGTGTCCCGAGTTCAGTGGGGTTCCTAGGCAGCAACGCCGGGGTGCACCCGGCAGCCTGGAGGTGAACCCTCACGCTAGTTACAGCAGACCCTGCTCTGTCACTTCTCCCTTCATCAAAGCACATGTCCTAAGGGCCCATGTCTCCCTCAGGTCTGGCACCGATCTGCCTGGGCTCCTCCTGGAAGGGCAGAGGAACAGCACCGGCAAGCCGGCTCCAGCGGGCTCAGGTGCGCCCAGCACCGAGGGCTCGGCTGGCCCAGCAGGGCCCAGGGCCTGGGCGGGAGCAGCGGACAGGCAGGCACAGGCACCACCCTCTGAAGCTCCCGACCCCCTGGGGGTCAGCAGATCTCTGGGAGGTGCTGGGCGCTCAGCTCCACCTGATCGAGGGCACACCGAGGGGAGTGGTCCGCCCAGGCAGAAGCAGACCAACGCTGACAGTGTCCCCGCGTCCAGTCCACCCTGTCAGTGTACCCAGCAGGGGGGTCCACCTGCTACAGGTTCTGTGACCAGCAGCCCTGGCGACTTCGTCCTGGGGCCTCAGCACCAGCCCCTTCTCTGCCCCTAACATCACCCCACAGAGAACCCCGATCAAGCCAGATGTCACTGCTTCAAATTGGTAAGACGGAGCAGGTGGGCCGGGCCAGGTTTTTCCTAGACATCCCGAGCTCCAGGGTGGGAGGAGCCCGGTCGGAGGGGACATGGATGGCATTCCCAGTAGGACACTGAGCCTGGAGAGCCAGCCGGAGGAGCTCTGAGGGCTGGTACCCCGGCAGGACAGACGCTGCCCCCTCGGGCTCCGCCGGGGCCCCGGAAGCTGCCCCACTCTGCCGCCCTCCTGCTCTGATGGCCTGAGCCCACTTCGGGCCACTGCGCTGACTCTGTGACCATTACCAAGTGCAGACACTGCGACAAGGGGACGGGGTCACAGATTCTGGGGGACACCAAGTCAACACCAACCAGAGGACAAGACAGGGTGACTTCAAGGCTTTGGAGAAGGTTCTGAGGGGTTTTTCCCAGTGGTTTTGAGAAATGAAGAGTCTTGGGAAGAAGGAGCCAGGCTCGGGAGACTGTGCCGAGTGCTTCTGAGCAGGCGGGGACGGGGACAGCCCCGAGGGAGGGAAAGCAGGCAAGGTGACAGGGTCAGGTGGCAGAGGGCCGTATAGCCAGGAGGGACAGATTAGACTGCACTATGGGCGATGCTGCCGGGAGAGGATGGGGTGCTGGCGGGATCCTCCCGGGGGTGAGGGCCATTACCCTGGGCTGCATGGGGACCAAGTGGCTGGGAGCAGGAAGAGAGCTGACGGCTTCTGTGCCACCGCCAGGGGAGGGCAGGAACCAGACGAGGGCGGGGGCTGCAGGGACAGGAGGGAGGAAATGAAACCCAGGAAGGTGGCATGGCAGGACCCGGGCAGGACCCGGGCAGGAAGCACCATGCACCTGAGGTCCCGGACGACCAGCTCCACACCTGGTCACAGGTCTAACATTACAGTCACCACGTAGAAAGCAAATGCAACAAAGCCCCTCCCGTGGTGTCTCTCCCCTTCCTGGGACACCCACCAGGCAGAGGGGCCCTCGCTGGCCACGGACACCCTGACTCAGGCTGAGACAAAGACCAGGGAGCTCTGGGGCCCCGCATCCGCCCTCCCCATTCTGGTGTTTGGCACCAACAGCGGAAAGGATGGAAAAATATTTTCAAAGAGTGAAGGGAAGGGTAGGGGAGAAGTGGATGAGACGCAAGAAAAGCTATCAGGTGCATGCAAGTTAGAAATCTCAAGCCCAGATCTGAGTTATTAAACAATCTGCTATAGTTTCTGCCTAGCTGATTGTCCGCATGTACGATGAGTCAGGGCAGATTCTATTACTCTGGGAGATTAAGCAAATAAATGCTAGCTTTTGGAAACACATTAAAATGTGGGACTATGAAAATAAAATTATCTAGAAAATTATATTAGCAATTCATTAGCTGCCGTGAGATGCGAGGCCGGGCGAGGGGACCCGCAGCGTCAGAACTCTGCCCCCGTCCACACCGGGGAGCATGGCACAGGGAGTGGGTATCCTGGGCTCCGTCACTTACTTGCCTTGTACCCTCAGCAGGTCACTGAGCTTCTCTGGGCCAGAGTGTGCCCATCCCTTGCCATGTTGCCTGTGGCTGTTGAGAGCATCAAATGAGACGCCCACGTGAAAGAGCTTTCTAGCTATAAAGCGGTAGCAGAGCCGGTGCCAGCCCAGACGCCCCTTCCTCTGGGCACACAGCGCCGCCCTGGGTGCACAGCTCCAGCGAGCACGCGGGCTGGACTCCAGCCTCCGGCCCCTGAGCCGAGCGCCCTCATGCGGCGGACACCCTGGCCGCGGCTCGGGCAGCCTGCACGGTGCACACGCCTACGCTGTTCCGCCGACTCGAGGCCGCTTCTTCCAGGAAGCTGACCCTACAGAAGGCGTCTTGGCTGAGTTACACCACGTAGGACTCAGCGCCAAGAACATCCTCCTCTGAGCCCTCGCGATCACAGCACGTAACACCCCACGTTGCGTTTATTCTGGACACGCGGCTCTGCCTGCTGGACGGTAAGCCCCTCTAAAGCAGGAACCATTCTCTGTCCTTACAGGGCACCGGGCCCGGCAGAGGGTGGGCACTCGATGCCTCATCGATGAGTAGGGAGCTGCGGGTGATCACGAAGGGCAGAGGGGGACACGGGCAGGAGGGGCATGGCCCAGACAGGCCGATGGCGAGTGCTGGGGAAGAGCAGGCCAGCGCAGCCCTCCCTGAGCGCTTCCGATCAGACCCTCCTTGGAAACGAGTAGTGCACAGTGACCCGCAGGCAGCTGATCTCTTTCGGGCCCCTCATGCCTGTGCGGTAGGCTGGACAGGACTCCCCAGTTCTGGCTCCGAGTCTGAGCTCTGCCGCTCAGAAGCAAAGGCCCAGACCACAAAAGGACCGGTTTCACCACGTCGCCCAGGGAAACAGAGGACCCTGGTTCTGGCCCAGAGGGGTGGTCCTTCCTGGCTTCGGGACCCTGGGCCAGGTAGGCAGCTGCCGCCCTCGGCCTCCTTTCTCGGTCTAGGAACGGGCGTTCCTACCGAACCTGCCCTCCCAACACCGCTACACAGTGCTGTCGTACGGCAACTGACAAACGCTTCGAGTCCGTAAACACTTCCAGTGTGCTGTGTCCTATCAATCTGTAAGTTTCCATATAAATCACATATATAATTTAGCCTGGGCACAAGGAGGTAATTTAGCAGGTCAACGAACAGCATGTCGTCTGCTCGTCTGACGAATGGGGCTCGGTCTTGGGCTGGACTCTGAGGCTGTCTGCCGAAGGGGTCAGGACCAGGAAGGAGGAATGGGGCGGCAGGCGATGTGGGGGGGTCCGCGCGGACACTCAGGCCCCTCTGCATCAGTCTGATCTCTGGAGATGTGGCCACACCGCACCCCCTCTCCTCCCCACGGGCCGCGCAGCCAGAGATGGGTGCACACACGCACGACTCAGACTCCCCATTCGAAACGAGTTTAATTTTAGCCAAAAAATGGGAGAAAGCCAAGGCCAGGGTGGAAGAGGAGGCAGGAGGGGGTGACACAGATCCAGGGTGTTTATTCCACCCAGGTGATGATTGGTCTAAAATGAGGAGACACAACCCCCGTGTTTACACCTGTATCATTTCCACTCCAACGGGCTCTTGAACAGCGAGGAGCGCGGGATCGGAGGGCACACAGCTGGGGGAGAAGTCCAGGTGCTGCACCTTGGAGCAGGCTCTTATTATCTCCAGCTCGAAGTAGTTTCTTAATCAAAGGAGCAGAGGTATCTAAATATACTCTGGCTGTTTTTGGTAAGCCGGTGGCGACAGCTAACTGCACGTGCCGGAGCCCACGTGTCCGTGCTCGTGGCCCACGGCTGGGCGTCTCACGTCCAACTCCCCCAACCTCACCCAGTGAAGGAAGGGCTGGTTGCCCTGCCACCCCAAGAGCTGCTTCTCCCCAGAGAAAGAAAATATCACATTTAGGGGTGTGGGAAAACCCCGATCCACACTGGAACCACCTCCCCAAATCCTTCAGGCATGCCTTCCTACTTCCTCTGACTCCCAGATCACTTCTCTAGAACACCATCTCCAGCCCCGGGCAGCCCTGACACCACACACCAACACCAACACTGAGACTTCCACCTTTTCCCCTTCCCCATCCCCTTCCACCCCCACCCCACCCTGCATCGTCGATAAAGATGAGGCCCAGATGCATCACCCACTGTGGGCGTGGGGGTCGGAAGGACAGACAGACAGACAGCCTGGGGCCGATGCACACTGAAAGCAGGGAGGCTCTGTCTGCATCTCAAGAGGGTGGAGAAGACTAGAGGTGTGTGGTGGGACCAAACAGCCAGCCCATGACATCGCAGAAGTGCCTGCCGATGTCGACCCCCCCATGCCACCCCTTGAGGACTCCTGGAGAAGCGCCAAGAGCTCCCTCTCTGGTTTTCTTCTTGGGCACAAGCTCCTGAACCTCCTCAGAAAGCTGGCTACCTGCACAGGGAGGGCCCAGCCTGCCCGGCTGGAGAAAATGGGCAGCCGCTGCTGGAAAGCGGGAGACAAGCCCCGCTGCTCCCCTTACTGCCTCTGCCCCTCGGGAGGTGGAGAAGGCTGA